TGGAAAAAAATTAGACAACATGCAGCAGTCTGATATGTGATTTTTCCCTTTTACTTCCTTTAAAGAAAAGTAAAGGAAAGGAAGTATTAAAACTGTGAAATATGTCCGGCATCGTATTTCAACCGAAATATCCATTTGAGTGTTCCCGAGTCCGTTTGGACGGTTTTCTGCGTGACGCCTGTACGTGTTAACAGAATAAAGAACTTGTTTTTCGATCGTAATATAGATTGAAAATTGATTCATAAGGGATTTTTTTCGTGACTTTTATACGTACGTATCTCGCATAAATACTAAACGATTAGCCATAGATCCTTAAAATTTCGTATATGAGACTGCTATTATATCTACTTGTACACCTCCCCTTTTTTATTGCAGTCGGCAGTACCAAATTTGTATATATGCGTGTGGATATGTATATGCATATATTCCCCGCCCTTTCCATTACAGTAGTGTTTTAAATTACGAAAATATTCATATTTTGGCAATGTCATATACAATTTTCTACACAACATAAGTCTTAATTTTTAATGTGGTCTCCTGGTTCCTGTACTTATCAGAACCTTACTAAGGCAGGGGCATACGGGGCAGTTGCCCCGTTGCCCCCACATCATAAAAAAGCCCCCAAATCTGGTATAAAGTTTAGTATAAAAATTTAAATATCGCCAAAAGTTCGCTTGTTCATTACTGAAATATTGAAGCAGAGGGGGGCCCAAAAAAGTATTTGCCTCGGGCTCCAGTTAGGCTAAGTCGGGTCCTAGTACTTATATTTGGGAAAGTTTTATACTCGTAATGGAAAAATTGTAATATAAGAAATATGACTCCCGTACAACAAAAAATTGACTGAGATATTTAATTTCAAAATTTGCAATTTTTGATGTCATTTTCAACTTTCTTTGAGAGATAAGTTAATTGGAGAAAATAAATTTAAATGAGATGCAGCAAAAAAATGTGTACAATTCAATAGATCGTACAAGGAAGTCTTGGTGTCTGTATCAGATTTTTTTATTAATATCGACATAGAGCAGACATATTTTAAAAGCAAACACCGACCCCCCCCCGCACGTTTTGAGCAACTGTTTAAATTTCAGCATCAGTAAGGTTTCCAGTTCTTGAAATTAAATCACCAAGACTTGTGTGTCGCGTGATACAAGTCTTAATAATTTTATCTTGGCACAAATTTCTGATTTGTTTACGCAGAAATTTTACATTTGTTTAATGCTCGGGTTTTTTATAGCTATGCGAACATTTTATTTCAGATTTTTCCCATTTTTTATTACAATTATAAAAGTTTCTTAAATCAATGAATATAATAATCATTAGAATTTATGTCAGATGTACATTATAAGGTAATCGCACTCAATTTTAAGTCCGAAATTCGAGCCGTAGAGATACCAAGTATTACCGTTTCCATTAATGGCCGAGTGACTAGGATCACTGAATTCAAGAAGCTTGATTCGGATTCCATACCAGGCGAACCTCGTTTATAACTCGTTTATAACCTCGTTTATTCTCACTGTAATGTTGCTGTGTATTCTTCCCTTCCTTTGTAAACATTTATTTCAAGAAAGAGATAAAATAGTATTTTTAGATGTTTTAGCAATGGTCGCTTATGTTTTTACATAACTTTTTAAAATTTCTAATGGCAGATTGCAAAGACAACTGTAGACAGAACATGCAGAAATGAAAGAAAGCAGCAAACTAGATCTCTCTCCCAGTGTAGGCCCAAAACTTTCCCGTTTGTTTTTTGATTTTTTTTTTTTTTTTTCTTTTTTTTTTCAGTTTTTTCTTTTTTTTTTTGCATTATTCCAACTTTAGTATAATATCTGTATCTCTCTTCCCAGTCTCTCTCTTGGATTGATCCAGCGTTAAGCGCAGTGCAACGACTCAGTGAAGCATCCATTCCTCATGAAGGATTCAATTTACAAACTGAGTTTGGACAACGTTCATTCTATGAAAATGTTTTAAAAACCAATCGTGGCCAGTAATAAGACACAAGATAAGAACAGATTTCCTTCTGGGCCTTAAAGGAATGTCAAAAATGTGGCGACATATGCCGAATTTGTAGATCACTTAGCTGTATTTCTGCATTACCAGGATGCGCCGCTAGGAGGTAGATCTACATTACGCCTCAAAATATTTGAATTTTGAGTTAAAGAAACCTATGTTGTTTTTTTATTTCAACAGTAATTTAATAACTTAACTAACCAAATACAGATTGGGTTTGGGATGCAGATGTTTTAACAAGCAATCATGGCACGTAACAAGATGAAAGATAGCAACAGATTTCATTCTGGGCCATAAAGGACTGTCAAACGAAAACTCGTGTGTAACAAAAACTATCACGTAAAATTCTAAATGCTAATGTAAAATACTTATATTTAATTAAATGTGATGCTTAGAATACTCGTGGCTTTCCTCGTGTGTCGCGTGATACAAGTCTTAATAATTTTATCTTGGCACAAATTTCTGATTTGTTTACGCAGAAATTTTACATTTGTTTAATGCTCGGGTTTTTTATAGCTATGCGAACATTTTATTTCAGATTTTTCCCATTTTTTATTACAATTATAAAAGTTTCTTAAATCAATGAATATAATAATCATTAGAATTTATGTCAGATGTACATTATAAGGTAATCGCACTCAATTTTAAGTCCGAAATTCGAGCCGTAGAGATACCAAGTATTACCGGTTCCATTAATGGCCGAGTGACTAGGATCACTGAAATTCAAGAAGCTTGATTCGGATTCCATACCAGGCGAACCTCGTTTATAACGTGAATACAAGCTAGTTTTCTTTAGGAAATCCTTCATAAAGGCACCCTACCTTTAGTAACAGATAGCCCTCTGTGCTTTGCCATGTTCAAATAATCCAACTTATCCAAATACAGAGCATTCAACTGAAGAATGCACATATGATCCTTCGATTTCCACCTTCACTACAAATATTTCATAAAACAAAATCTGTATAGCTGTTATGTAATGTATCAAAACTCCACACGTTTTGGAGGAGAATCTGATTGTAAATGTTTGTTAAATTAGAAATTTAAGTCATTAATTGCGAAATTTCGCAATTTACCTCGTAACCACCTCGTACGATTTTTTGTATGCAATAAAATTACAACTCCTACACATGATTTGTAATTTGAATTTTTTTACATAATATATTTTTTAAATTGCCTGTATTAATATGTATGAGAATTTATCATGTGAGCTATCGAAAATTATGTACCGGTAGCTCCCAGTTTTCCGTTTAGAGACCTCTAACCCGAAGCCTATATGGTGGTGATGTTGCTTATGCTCACTTGTCTGTCTTAGTCAGACCAAGCCCACGAAATGCCTCGTGGCAAGGAGCGCAAGATTACGCCTGTTTTTGGCAACAGCCTTAGGTGCTCAAGGCTGTTGCCAAAAGTCCAATGCCAAAAGTCGCCTAACTTGAAGACCGTTGGCCATGTTTTGGTCCGTTTCCTGTGTAACTGTAACTGGTCCAATTTGTATGTAACTATATAGCTGCACCTGTGTGCGCCTTTCGGCAGTTTCGAGAAATGAAAGGTACTGGAAATTTCTCAGCAGCCGGGTGAAAACTATATAAAATTGGAAAGAGCATCAGCTTTCGGTTCAGTTCAGAGTTGAATTTAGCTCACTGTATGGAGAGATCCCTGTGCGAACTTACGCATTGAGGCTTTTCATATTGTTTTAATATTTTTAGTAGTTTGAAGTGGTAACTACTGAATGGGCTCTGTCACAGTGAGAAGAGCTGCACGAGTGCTTTTGTCGAAAGTTCCAGAACTGTTAAGAGTTTATTTTGGGAAAATAAATTTTATCAAGCTATCATCGGTTATGGGCGCATTCACTCTATTACGAACCCGTACGCACGCAGCAGTATTGACTTTTCACAAAATGCTTCATTTTCTTTTCATTGTTGAGTATTATAGAATGCGTGCTAAGCGGCATTACACATTTCATTGTTGAGTATTATATAGAATGCGTGCTAAGCGGCATCAAACTCAGTCTTTTAGACTATAACATCTCCTGGGACACTTTTGGTGGAACACAGATTTGGACAAATAGCCCATGTATATTTGTTCATCATTGAATATCATTTGTTCATTTGTTCATCATAATATCCAACTTTCCTTTGCGATAGGATTTTTATTCACGAACTGAAAGAATATTTTCTTATGTAGTTAATTTTAATCCTTAATTTAAAATTTTTTTTGGCGAACGAGAATATTTCAAGTAATTATTACTGTTCGAGAAAAATGGACTTCTGTTAAATTGGTGATTATTAAAAATAGCATTCTTTCATCATTAACATCCCATAAATATTTTCATTATTTCTGCTATGGTATGGCTTATCTTCAGTTTGAAGATTCATTGGCCTTCGGAATAAGGAAAGTAAATGTGAGATTACTGAGTTAGTTCTGTTAATTAGTACTTATAATAAGTGTGGAACATATCGAAAGATTTGTTACAATTAGTGATTTTTAATTGTATGAAGTTAACTATATTTTACCGATATAAAATATTAAATTCTGAAGTTAATAGTATGGGACGAACCTAGGGCACATGTGTCGTATATGGCACGCGAACTCATTTTGCGCGGCATGCATCACACATTTCCAGAGCTGTCGGTGGAAATAAAAAAATTGCATAATACAAAATATATTTGTCTGTTGCAGCGGAGTCTTTATTGTCACATGTGGTGTCCTTACCTCGGGTGCATTCTTGGCCGAGAGATGATTTTATGTGTACGTCACCAGAGTTAAGCTAGGGGTTTTCCAAATTCGAGTACACCGAGCTGAAAAGATTCGCCATCACAGCTGTACTACGGCATCCCTGTTGAATCTTCATTAAATGTTTTGCCTGTGCCATGTTACCAGTATATATTATATTGTTGGTAGTTCAAAGTTTTATGATACAAAGAATTAAAATAAATTAATTCATATACCGATCGAAAGGGTTTTATTTTCATTAATGTGTAATCTATATCTACATGCAGGTCCGGTTGTTGGCATTCTGGGTCAAAAATACGGTGTGCGGGCCGTGACAATCACCGGTGGCGTCATAGGCACTCTCAGTGCAGCATCTTGCTTCTATGCCAAAGACATTGTCTGGATAACCATCATATGGGGAGGTATAAATGGTTAGTATTGTTATTGAATTTCATAAATGTCTTCTCCCTAAATCTAAGAACAGTTGCCTTTGTTTGACTTGAATTTAGTACTGCATTTGAACAATGACATTCCTGGGTGTTTTGCAGTTAGCAAGCAAACATTGGAAATTTAGAGCTTTCTGAAATACTGAATTAATTCCGTTACACCTTGATTGCCATGTGTATCACCGATGATTCAGGGCGGCCTTATTTCTCGGAGCCGTGTTCATCGAATGCAATTCACAGATTTTTATATTTTTTTTATTTATATTGTTTGAGAGTCACCGATGATGCTTCACGAACATAGGGATTTATGGGGTTAAAATTATTTTTTGTCCAAGAAAATTCATAAATTGTTTATACATATTTTGCTTCAGTAACTTGCAAGTAAATATTATTTATGTGTAAGTAAAATAATGAAGTTCCATTTAAAGCGGATTGTATTGTTTATTGAAAGAGTAAGACTTAGTAGTACATTTTGATATGTTTATACATTCACTAAGTTATGCATTTTTGTTTATGTATGCTGATATACTATTTCTATTGCAATATACGATTTGTCTAATTTTTTTACTATTAAAGCAATGAACTCTTGTGTTATTTTACGATAAATTAAGTTGCAATCTGTACTTTTTGTATTTATAAATAGAAGTTTAGAATTATGCAACTGAAAATGAGAGATGAAAATAAACAAAATAATAGCGAGTTCAGATGAAAACTAGGTACTGAACTGACTTTTAGAATAAATGGGACAAGAAAGCACTATAATTATAAAATGTCCCGATAGTGTATTTTACTCGATTTTGTTGTAGCAGTCAACGCGTTAATTATGGGATACCGAGTTAAAAAATATTGAATTAATTTAGCTTTTCAGTTCTTCCTTTCGTACAGTACGTATTATTTTAATTTCATTATAACTAGGTGATACAAGTATTTTCTATTTCTAGTCCAAAGGCTTTGCAATTGAAAAAATAAATACGTACCCATTAGCCAGTAGCAGATGATTTTGTGCTTAAGCTTAGTGATAATGTCGCCAAATTAGTAACCTCAAAGAAAACATAAAAATGCGAAATATAACTTTATATTAAATTGCATCGTAGTAGACTTAATGCAATAATTATATGTATGAAGTCTGTGTTGCGTCGTTAGAGAGATGCCACGTAGTAATGGACGAAATTTGACTATCGAAATGAACGATAGCTTGTTCACTAAACGTAGAAATTAAGCTGTCTATTTCATCATCAGCTATGAATACTGAGATCGCTTTTTCCTTGAAGAACCTACTCATTGAAACGAAGAATTCATAAATATAATCTGCTGTTAAAAGTCTACACAAAGAAGAGGAATGTAATTCTAAATGCGGTTTCTGAGATCCAGAAATCGATCGCTGAACTCGGTAATTATACGTACTGAAGTGCCGTATGCTGAACAAATATGGCAGCTTAGTATCCTAAGTCTATTGAGGGCATCAGTTTGGCGATTTATTATATTTCTTGCTCTTACTCATCACATCATTTGTACCCGACTAATGGATAGTATCAAAACTTATTAATTTTGTATAAACTGAAAATAGGGTTTGTTTTGGAGATTTATTTTTGAGTAATATTTCTTAAATTGTAGGAAGTTGAGTAAATTGGGTATCTATTTTGGGTTTGGGGTATTTAATTTGTCTCACTTTGATTTTGCCTTTGTATTCTAATCTTTGCTTAAACAAATGAAAATTAACTTGACTACTATAGTGTGCAAATTAGTAGGGACAAAGCGATTTTACACATTGTTTGCCAGATCGCGCTAGCAGGTCCCTCATAACAGTTTTTATCTGCCTTAATGTCGTCTGGATGTCTCCTTTCGACTACTTAGAGCTAGTTTAGAGAAACAATTAGGATAATTACATAATTTTTAAACTTGTTTCGGTGAAAAGAGAAATTGCTTTTGCATACGTTTCGCGTTTGTTCATTTTAGTGCACTAAAAATACATATAATTTCTAGAAAGAGAGTGAAGATTATCGTACCTGACTATAAGAAATATCTTTCACGGTTGGTGCTGGAAAATGGCGAGTTACTCGAATTACCACAATAAAACAATCAATTTCCTAGAAAGAAGGAGCAAATGTGAAAGGAAAACACTTATTAATTTTGTTATGCAACTGTGATAGATTCTTGCTCCGAAACAGCATTATGGATCCATCAGAAACTAGCAAAGACCTTAAAAGAAACCTATTATCTATCGGCATTGATATTCATCCTTCGAATGTGAGGCATAGATTTCTCACTGTTGGTCGGAAAGCGAGAAAGCCATTTAAAAAAATTGAAACATAATAGGAAGTAAAAACAATCATTGTAGCCAAGCGAGTGCAAATATTCAACGATAAATGACTGGAAAAAGACAATTTTCAAAGATGGGACTCGTTTTGCGCAGGTTTCAAATCTAGCAAATCAGAAGGAGCAAGGATGAGTCAATAAAACACCAACCTATGCAGCAAACCGTAAAATACTCCCCCCCCCAAAAAAAATAGATGTTTTGTGTTTCTTCACTGCTGATAGCACTGGAAATCTTATTCCTGTTGGCATATTACCCATTAATTTTATTATCACTGTACATGAAGGTATGTACATAAATAAGCGGGAGTTTTGCTCCAAATAATTTTCATACTACAGTATATATTCTATTGTGTCCTGTATAAAATCAAGAAATGTGTGCATATCCTAAATATTTTGGTTTCAAGAAATTTAGAAGGAGAAAATAATAATTTAAGATAAGAATTAAGTAAGAATAGGTATTTTTACTAAATTTTATTTAAAAAACTATTTCAAGTCAAATATGAAGTTGTATATGAAATTTCTTGTTTTCTTTATAAATTCATATATTATAAAAATTGCTAAAAGCATATTAGTATGTTTTAATATAGCATTTGAAAATTGAGAGATGAGATGTCTGAAGTAGCTAATTAAAATGGCATCCAAAATTCATAAACAAAATGAGACTTGAATAAATTACCCCTCTTAATACATTTATATTTTGGAAACTCTTTTAAAGAGTATTCAGTGTATTAATTTTAATAATTTAAACGTTAAATTAATATGAATTTTGTGGTATTTATGCAGTGGATCTCTATTATAATTGTTGGAAATGGTACTGAAAATATTCAGTGCCTAATTTTGTTCATAGTAAAGTTGTTAGTCAATATGTCGGTAACTACTGCGATACTTTATATAGGCCAAAGAGAGTTAAGCTGCAAAACGGGCTTGAAAGTGCTGGTCACTTGAGATTTTTGTCGATTTTGTTTCCATATGCGACGTAAATACTAGCCAGTTTATCTTAGAAAGGTGGAATGCTGGAGCCAGGTTTGAATATATGTAATGAGTTTTGGCCATAGTATGTATGACTGAATGTGCTTTGGTCATTCATTTTAAAATCTTCTGTCATTCCCAAGATTCCACTATATTTTACTATATATTATTAGTTTGCTTCTGGTTTTAGTATAGTGATTTACATTTTAAATTCAGCTAAAAATGTTTGTAAACTTATACTTTTTTTACAGGTATTGGAACAGCTCTTACAACCACTCTTCCTCAAGTTGTCATTGGACAGTATTTCGTAAAGCATAGAACTACTGCTTCTGGAATGGCATTTTCTGGCGGTTGCGTTGGATCTTTCCTTTTCCCCGCACTGTTAGAATGGCTACTCTTCGAATACGGAATGCAGGGTACTTTTTTAATCATTGGTGCCATCATCATGCATGTCATTCCAGCGGCAATGGTTCTTAAGACTGCTCCATGGTTAAAGGACAAAACAGCTGAAAAACCTATGGAACATGTTATTCTTGAAGAGGCTGGACCATCTAAATGCAACTCAAATAAAGCATATGATGATCAAATTCAAATCAATGGCAAAACTAATCTAACGAATGGTGGGATAATATCTCCTCATGAAGAGAAACCTCTTGAACTAACAAAAGACGATTCAAAACATTTTGAAGTTGATATTGATTATTCCTATTTGCGAAGACATAAAGATTTGGTGCTGAAGTTACTTCAAATGACAATGTTGCCAGAAACTATGTTAGCTGAAGTTTCTGAGGATAGCAAAAACTATTGTAAATCATTGGAAGAAGAATGTATTTTGGAAGACATGGAAAGATTGTACCGAAAACTTGAAGTAACTAAAGATAAAAATAGAATACTTGATTTGAAGCATTATAAGAATGGAACTATAAAATATGAATGTGATTTTGAGGATTCTTCCTTGTATAGAAAAAGTCAAAGTTTTACCTCAGGTAAAAAAATTTCCAATAATTCAGGCACATCATCCATATATAAAGTTCAGTCTGTCCCGCAGTTTACCATACCCAAAGGATCGTCTCATAATATTTTTATGAGACTGTTAAAACTACAAAGTTGTAATGATGATCAAATTTTGTCTTTTTTCTTAAACGAAAATCATTCCGAAGTATTGAAGTTAGCAACGGAGCTTAGAAAGGTGTATATTTTGTTAAATCAAGTGGAAAATATAGGGCATTTAAATCCAAATTGTGAAAATTCCACAAATTCGATTTTAAGTAATGAGAATTCTGATATAATAGATACCACGATTAAAAGTGCTAATCAGCAGTCAAATAGTTTCTGGATTCATATTAAAACTGCCTTCAAATTGCATTCGAATCCAATTTTTTTGTTAATCTGTCTTTGCAGAGCAGTTCATTTCATTACTTTTGTTACTGTTGTTACCACTGTTGTTGATTTTGCGATGGATAAAGGCTTACAAGAAGCGGATGGAAAGTATGTTATTGCGGCATTATCTTTAGGTGATTTAGTAGGCCGTTTGGGTCTAGGATGGCTTACTGACCGAGGCTACATCAGTTTAATCAAATATATGTTCTTTGTTATGATTATCCAAGGTGCCAGTACAGCTTCCTTGCCGCTGATGTATGCTAAATCTACATTTCTACCAGCGATTGCCATATTTGCAATGCTTCAAGGGTCTGTGTTTGTGCGTCATCCAATTTTGATTTCTAGCTACATGGGGAAGCATGAACAATCCATCGCCATGGGCTGCATTAATTTTTTTTCTGGCTTCCTAGGATTTGCAATTCCAAGTTATATTGGTAAGTAATTAAATTTGAGTTTTTGTTCTGAATCCACTTTTGCAAGAAATCTCTTTTTTAAGCCTTTAGCAGTTTAAAATAAATGAACGCTACTAAGTTGACCGCTATATTTCCAATAGTGCGTTATGAAAGCCTTCGCAACAATTTGTGGTTTTAGATTTTTCGAAGGATTCTTCATAATGTTCAACTGAGCGGCATCATGAAAGTGCCTAAAATGTTAATTTCATTTCTAAAATTTTAAATTTCTGCAGAAATTTTACAACTTTTCTGGCTCTAAGCTTAAATTTAAAGATTAAAAGTAAACATAAAAAGTAAGTATAGCAATTTCCAGTCACCTACCCGTCCTACAGTTATAAGGCACTTCTCCCGCCTTCCTAGCGTGTCTTCGTGGTGTAGTGGTTTGCACGCTGGGCCGGTATTTCATTGGTCCGCGGTTCGATTCCCGTCGCAGGCGACTGCTCATTTTTTATCTTGCCTGCTTCCAAAAAATACCTAATGTCTCTGCAGTAGCGCCCGAACTAAAAGGGTGTTGGATGAGGATTCTCCACACCCAGGATTTGGCGATTGGGTCCCCTAAAAAGACCCCAGTCGCCCTTTAAAAAGGGGAGTATATAAGGTATTTCTCCTGCCTTCCTAGCGTCCCTTTGTGGTGTGGTTTGCACGCAGGGCCGGTATTCCAGAGGTCCGCAGTTCGATTTCCGTCGAAAGCGTTGCTAATTTTTCATCTTGCCTGCTTCCAAAAATGCTTAATGTCTCTACACAGTTTTTCATGCTGAAAAGGTTAATTTGAGCATTTGTACATGTGAACATATTTCGTGTGAGCTGTTTTCCGTGTGAGAATTTTTCTGGCTTTTTCTTGTGTGGGCATATTTCCTTGTGGGCCTTTTGTCTTGCGAGCATTTTTCCGGTCACCCTTTTGAGATTCCTTAAAAGCACATTTCTACATAGAACAACAATAAAATTCTGGACTAAAAAATTGGTAAAAGTTAAAAAATACTGAACTAAACTCACTTTTGTTAAACATTACATTATTTTATTAGCACCAGAAAACAATAAACAAACTCGCAGTAATAGGTTAGGACACGTTGGCTTTGTCGTTGGATGTAGACTGACAGAGAGCATGGTGAAATTCAGAAACCTGTAGTCAAAGTCCAATACTCTATTGGAACACAGACTCGCGCGTTTGTACTAGACGTGCTTCCGAACTTTTTTATTTTGCTATGGTACATATATAATCCATCAGAGGCCACAAGGTTAAAAAAATATGTAACTGTGATTTAAGCCAGGCCTCGGCAACCTATGACCCATGGTTCACAGAGTGACCAATTTCAATCAAAAATTAAATTATAAAACCTAAATGTGAAACGAAAACTCGGAGAATGCAGAAAAAAATAAACCGAAAATAAATAGTATTTTTGTTTGAGTTAGTGTAACGAACATGAATTTTTATTTTTCAAATATAAATTTGAAGGAGAAATCGATAAGTTTAGCAACGCAGATCCATAATCTATCTATAAATACAAGAAAAGGCTTTGCCATTTTGTCCACATTTAGTTCCTCTTATAAATGCTAGCAAATATTTTCTCACAAAAAATTTGTTTTAACTAGGAACAGGAGCAGCTACCGAAAATTTAGATGCTTGAATTCGTCTTAAAACGATTAACTATTAGCCAGGCTCGAGTAAATTGACTTCATTAGGGCCAGCATCTGATGAGCCATTGATATCAAAGAGAAAAATAAAGTTTATTCCGTTGTGTTTTTTCTGTATTAATTATAATTATAATTTTTAAATCCGGTTGTAATTATTTTCTCAATAAAATTTATCTTTAAGGAATACTGTTCTAAAATGCAAATACCACAGACCCGAAACGTCTTCTTAATATACATATTTTGGTTAATTTTGACTCGCAATCAAAAATGTTTGCCGATGCTTGATCTAAGCTAATATTGTAGGTATAGATTTGAAAAATGTAATGGGAAGAAGTTTTTAAAATGTAATGAAGAACTAAGAGATCGTTTAGAACTGTACGCAAGTCGTAATCTTGAAATGCAATGTGAAAGCAATACTTTTGGAATGTTTTGTTCCCGGAACTTGGTAAAAATACCTTAACTGTGCTCGTCCCATTTGCGATCATATACTTGTGCAACTCGGGAATTATTGCATTTTAATCAGTCAAAACGAAATTCAGAAATCGCTTGGATGCACAAGCAGATATGTGAACTGTTATTGGCAACAATGTACCGAGATTTGGAAAATTCTTATCCAATAAACAGGAGAAAAAAGTTAATTATTTTTTGATTTATGCAAATGTTGAATTAATTTTATTATTTCAAATTTCGCTTTTGTTTGAAACTGCTTTAGAGGTGCAAGAACAGGAAAACGATGGGGGACATGCATTAACCGAAGTTAAAATTATTTCCTACTAAAAGCATTAATAACCATTACAAATGATTAATACTTAACACCTAAACTTTGTTTTTACATTCGAGATAATTCCATGGCGAATGTTAAAATTCTAATATTTAAACGAATTATGGAACGAAATTGAAAAGTATTTTATTTTAAAATACTTGAAAAATATGTACAGGATAAATTCGAAGATGGAAGTCGTTTCCTAAATAATATACTGAAATAATTAAACCAAGTTATTTATATAATTCGTGTTTATTATGGTCTTATTACTTAGCATGGTTGGTAAAAAATAATCTTCTATGTACATAAGCATTCTATTGTTATATTTCAAATAGACTGGAGGAGAATGATATATTATATAATATATATATATATTATATATATATATATATATATATGCAATTAAATAGATGTCATTTGGCATGTCTAGAAATCTGTTTGAACTTTATTCTGTTGTGGAAGATATTTTATCTTTTGTAACATATATATGGCTCAAAGTTATTTCCTCAATAAAAGGTTATGCAATTGCGGCAGATAAGAAACGTTCATCAAGCTCGTTTCCATATTTTTTACCAGTATAGAATTTATTTCAAGATTCAGATTTTATTTATGGCTGCAAAGTTTTTAGTATAATTAGATATATTCTTGAAAGAATATTATTGAAATATATGTTCTTTTTGTTTCGAAGAGTGTCATGGTTTTAAATACATACATCCTTTCAGGATGGGTGTATGAGTTTGCTCCAAAATAAAGTACACAAACTAATTTGACTCTGTAAAAGACGCTATCCGCTAGTAATTCGCACTAGAATATCACGTGGTCTTTTGTATATCCAAATGCTCACATGGGAAAATCAGGTTTAGTGTGAAACTATTCTTCCCGATATTGTAAAAATGTGCTTTTATAATTCCTGAACTGTATTTTTTTAAAACAAATGCTCATTTGAATGTAATTGGTTTCCTTATTCTTGGCCTTTACTTCTAAAAACTCTCATTATATTTTAGATAATTTTTAAATTAGCTGTTTGATTCTCTTGGTATTATATTATTCATCACAATCCTTATGTTTGGCAAAATAATTTCATCATAGTTATGTTGTCGGTATGCTGCATATTTAAATCTTCTAAAGACCAAAAATGTTCTAGAAAACCCTCCTTTCATGTATAAAAAAATTGCTTTTCATAAAAATTCAAGAGCAGTTTTATATAGCTTATATACAATAGGACATTCGCTATTATATTGGAACATATGCAAGTCGAAAATTTTTATATTTTTAAGAATATTAATAAAATTCTTTGCAGAGCAAGGTACAGGCTCATAACAAGGAGAAGTATTTGAAGTTTTTATGTTTACATTACATTTAATACACAGTTTTCATTTGTAACTGGGTTTTCCTCCAACGTATATATGTATGCAGTTTAATTTGTAAAGATCTCCCAGTACTCAAGAAAGCCTACGCTTTAAGCTACAGTTTTAACAACCATATATTTCAAATACTTATGGATTTCTTTTCATGAGATCGAATTTTATCTTGTAAAACTTAAAACATCCTGATGTTTGATATTTGGAGGTGTCATTCTGGATACCATACAGTATTTTGTGATGTATCTTGAAATTATAAATTGTGATAATGTATCCAACAAATAAATGATATTAAATTTTTATTTTTACAGGTTATTTCAGAGATACCATTGGATCTTATGACAACATATTCTATATCAATGGTGCTATTGGAACTTTTATAGGGTTACTTTGGGGCTTCGAACCTTATTTCAGACGTTATTGCCCTCAAAACGCCGAGAAAAATAACTCCATAGAATCTGTATGAATACACCAACTGCATAGTATGATTCAAATGCAAGCTTCATATTCTTTTATACATGGAATTGATTTTGGTATTTTTGAGGACATTTTTTCAGTAATTTATGTCAGAGCAAACGCAATGGATCTGTGTGCATCTAATCAATCATTGTATATGAAGTTATGTATTAATTTGCAAACATTTTATTCACTTTAACTTAATGCAATCATAAAATATCATTGAATAGTGCAGCATATTAGTTAAATGCGAAGAGAGAGCGAATAAGTTAGCAAAGTGTTATGAAGTGCATTTATTTAAAACTTTAGACTTAACTTTAATGGTGCTTTTGTTTTAGAAATTATACAATTTTTATTAAGTTTTCCTTATATTCGATTGTTTTATGAATTATCATTTACTTTTAATGAAGTATCACAAAGTATTATCTTACTATAAATATATTGTGCTGAATTTTTAACCTAGAAATTTTATTTTAAAAAGTATGAAATTTTAAGTACAGAAAAGTTTAAGAGCAATTGTGTCAGCAAATGAATGTATTATGCTAATCATTTAAGATGATTCTAATCATGTCATTCCACTCGTCTGTCACTTGAAATGTTACTATACCAACTGAAGTATGTTTTTGCTTTATATGATGGTCTCTTATTAGCCATATCTTATTAAATCAAAATCGTAAATGAAAAGAGCTTTCAATGTTGCTGTGATGAAACGTTTATATGAACAATCTTATAAATTCAAACATTTATGAATCGGACATTAAACAATGTGTAATATTTTTCAGTAATCTAAAATTGTAACAGTAAAGACTGTTTCATTTAGAAGACGAACAATATGGTTCCTTACTTAGACTTATGTTCGTCCAGGAAACAAGTCTCTTTCAACTGAAATTGTTTTGAGTTGAAATTGTATTTTATGCGCACATGTTTGCAAGAAGAACTGTTTCGAATGTATTATTAAGCAGATATCAAATAAGTATAGAAGGGTTTTTAAATTGGTTATTTTTCTTAAAACTGTAATAGGGTGATATAAATTTTAAGTATCTTAAGGAAAGTTCGGATTTTTTCATTGTGTGCAAGGAATCTGAAATGCATCATGGAATTTTATATAGTGGGGCTTGTTATGTGATACTATGTGTAACTTATTATTGTGAATATTGTTCTGTTAGAAGATGTGCCACTATTTTGTAGTTATTTATGTACATATATGTCAAGATAGTATTATTTTTTATCTCAAGGTTGAAATAAATTTGAATATTTCTTCCTAGACGCTTTTACGAAAATTTTTATTTTTCTGGTGTAACTAACACTCTTTAATATTCCCAAAAAGTCGTTTGAATACATAAAAAATAACATAAGAAAAATTGCTTTCAACAAAGTTTTACTACAACTTCATAGCGCTAGATCTGTGTATACCCCAAATTTTCATTGTAATTTTGTCGTACACATTATACCATCGGCTACCATGAGTAACATTTTTATATATAATTAACTATGATGTCATTGACAATTTATGTGTGTAATATGTCTGGTGTAGTAATTTCAGGGTGACAATTATTGAGGTATATGAACTACAAAATCAGGTGTTCCATAACTACAGAGTTCAAAAGTTTTATTGTAATCTGAAAAGTAACTGCAGATATGAAACATTCGATTTGCTTGCTATCAATGGCTACGATGTGTCGCAGACGAGGAGAAAAATTTTGCAAATTTCGCTGGAAGTGTTAAGACATAGATGCTTTCGACTTCTTGACATTTCCAGGAAGGGTTTCGGGGATATTTCCGTAAACTTTGTCTTTAATATTGGCTCACTAAAATCAGTCATAAAGGTTGAGATCAGGAAAATATGGCGCCTAAGCTATTTCCACTCACATGGCCTTTGGGTACCCCAAACCCAGAATGCGTTCTGCAAAGTGCCGTTCTAGGATTTCTGTCGATGGGTACGTGCTCCGTAGCACATTTGAAATCTAGATCTCCTTGAATAAGAAGGATAGCATCATCTTTTAAAATTTTGATATAACGTGCAGCAATAGTCATGCCTGTGCGATGAATATGGCACCGATTATTCCCTGACTTGACATCGCACACCAAACAGTTACCCGTTTGGAGTGTAGAGATGTCTCGAACGCGAAACGAGGATTTTCAATCCCCAAATGCGGCAATTCTGCTTATTTGACGTACCCATCCTAATGAAAGTAGGCTTCGTCGCTAAACCAAACCATATTCACATCAAAGTTTTGTTTGTCGATTATATCGACAATAGTGTTACCGAAACACAATATTCAATGGCGATGGCATTCTATGGCTGATGAGCTTGAATTCTGTACGGAAAGAGCTGATCTTGCGCAACAATTCGTCGCAAAATATCCCGGTTGATTCAGACTTATTATAAAGCTCGTTTGATCGATGTCCTTCAGCTGTTTTGAAACACAGTTCATGTTTTTCGATGTTTTTAAATTTGCTCGAAGACCAACTTTGCCAACACTGTCATCATTAACACTACCATTTTTCTCGTAACTTACTACATATAGCGTAGTAATCAAAATTTTGTTGTGATAACACTCGGACCGGTTGTCTTCAGTTTGCACGCGTTTCCAAATTTCCGTTGAACGATAATTGGGCTGCTATTATTGCTGCAATGGCAGGCCTTGACGATGAATATGAGCTCAGAAAGGCTGTATTTCGACACTTTGAACGGAAATTGACTAGAAGAATGTTCAAATTCCCGGCATGCCCTGTATTCAACCGCTAGGTTTTAATTGAATCCAATTAATGGTTTACCCCGTCCATGTAGCTCAATAATTGTTACACTGTATGTAGTATAACACTGTATAGCTGGCGACTAAATATGATATACGTAAAAGTATTTACAAATAAGTTTAATTCTACGTAATTCAAACCCCGAGCTAAAATTTAAAATATACTTTTATTCATTCCCGTAATCAAAGAAGTTTCTGTATTATAATAATAAATCCAGGAATACATCCGAATTCTTCATAACTTAAACAGGTAACTAATAAATTAGTCGTAACAATAAACTTTTCTTTGGAGGTCATTCTTTGAAATCATATAACCACCTGAAGGAACTAATGATACTAATTCGGCTACAATCTACAGTGGTAATGGAGAAGAAAACCATTATCAGCTCGCATAAAGTTTTCTAAAATCTATCGAATCGGGCGTTTTAGAAACACTAACAAAAGCCCTACAACTAAATCAAAACGCTAAAAGGAAATGAATGTTATGACAAAACTTACGTTTCACCGACTTTAGCCAGCGACTTGACTATCGCAAGTTTCACTGACTTAATTAAGAGACTCGGCTTGACCTTTAATAAGTTGGGCTAGATAATATGCACAGATGAAACTTAAATCGTAATAAGAGACTTGCCACTGCCAAGTAATAGTGCAAATAAATTCAAAGTCCTAAACATGCTTAACATCAGCAAAGTTAGCCTTTTTAATCTTGTAAAATAAAAATGAATGTTACCCACAATAAGTACTATATTAAGTACGAAAAAAAAACAATTTTCAGCTGAATCTTAATCAAAAAATTTTATTTGCTTACTTATCTTTTTGTCACGTTTATGTAAGAAGCTAATTAAAGTTTTACAAAGTCTAAAAGTTAAAACTAATTAATAAAACCTGTTTGTTAAGTAGTCAGTATAATAAAGTTGTTTTTCAGACTAAAATTTTAAATATCCAATTTCAATTGGAATTCAAGATAAACAAATAGAAGCCCGCAATGTTTCTTAGTCTCTTGGCCTTCGCACGAAAGTTATAATTCAACAATACCAAGAAAAATTACCTTTTTTCCCTTCACCTTTCCCTCGTTAACATTTTAAGGTGTTTGGGGAAATAAATGATGTTTTGTTACAATAATACAAATACACAATAATACAGTTCAGCAGTACTATTTTGTATTACATATTGTTACGAAATGTCCAGTCGCGTGTTGCTGATTATTTCAGCGTGTTTGTCGGAGTTTTTCGACGACTGTAAACGCGGGTTTGAAGCTGACCTGAGTAATTTTGGCTAATAAATTGTGTTATTTTCCACTTCAGAACAAAAGCAAAGGTGCTCCAAAAACATGTAAACACAGTGTAGTTTGGTCAAAAAAATTTTCAGATATTTTTGGCGCTTCTTGGGAGCTGACGTCATGCGTCACGTGGACTACTGACTCATGTGACTACTACTAAGTCGCATCTTCTACAATTAACTTCAGAGCCAACGGTTCACCTCTCAAGAGGAATCTTTCATTGTGGAAGGTACGTTCTCAATGCTTTTGTACAGCAAACGTACAGACCGGGCATAGTCAAGCTGCGGCTTATCAGCCAGACATGACAAAGAAAAGTGAAAAATAACACCAAAAATTTAAATTCAGATGACTGCTAAATTAAATAATAAAAATTCAAATGTTGACCAAACTTAGTTTCAGCACAATCTTATGATGCTTGATAAGCCACTATTTCACTGGCTCTATTTCGCTGTTATTGCTTATAGGTTGCTAATACGTTCATACAATCGTACATACCTATTCCTCTGACCTGATGCCTCTAGATCAGCGATTCTCAGTCGGTGGTAAGCGTACCACTGATGGTAAGCAAGAGAAAAGTATGCGGTACGCAACAAAAAAATATTTTTAAGTATTAAATTCAAAAATTAAGTACCCCAACATCCTGCTTACGTTTTTTCTCTAACACTAGTAGATCTGAGCTTTGTTCAAGGTCAATAGACGCTCATAGACTTAAAAAAAATAATCCGTTTTTATTTTCACAAATATTCTTTTAGTCATTGACATAACACAGTTCGTCATAAATAGTGTTTCTAAAAGGAGTAATAGAAATAATTTCATATGATAGTATGTCAGTAATTCTTTTAGAGTTGCGGCCGAGCGGTAAAGTCGCTGAACACTGGTAGTTCGGTCCGAGGTTTGAATCCCGCGAACGGGCTGGCTGCATGGGTGTTTTCGTGGTTTCCCCATGTGTAACATGTATACGAGCTTGTTTCCTTTAGAATAATAATAAGTCCTCCACGAAGGCATCCCTCCCAGATAACCCTAGTGTGCTTTGCCATAATTAAATGCACCACATCACTTTGAGTTGAACGATTTATTAGTATGGGTACACTTATTCACCACCATTTCCGGGCTCATATTACTGAATTTTGAATTAGAATCAATTCTATATCGATTTGCTATCTCTAATAGCATGTATTTTGTCTTCTTGTTGCTTTGTATTCCTTACTTTTTCCTTACTTTTCTACGCGTTTGATAATATCGTTGTTTGTTTTTGAAGAATCGTAATATATTGTGCATTTAAATATTTGTGAAAAAATAATAAAACAAACCTAGATTTTCAAAACGAAAATGGCTAGGATTAGTAAGACGTAAAGTGACGATTCACAGGTGATGGATCCAGGATAATTTACTAGTACTAAGGTGGTGGTGTATTTAATTATGGTAAAGCACACTAGGGCTATCTGCCTAAGGGGAGGGATGCCTTTCGTGGAGGACTTTCTAAGGGAAACTGGCTCGTATACACGTTACACATTTGGAAAACCACGAAAACGCCCATGCAGCCAGCCCGTTCGCGGGATTCGAACCTCAGACCGAACTACCAGTGTTCAGCGATTACTAGTACTAAGAACGTTGAAAAGAAAAAATTGTTTATTTATCATTTGAGTTTACTTAGAATGGAGGTGAAATAAAACCCTCAACCTCAATATGTTTGCGGTGAACTATTATCCAAACAAAATATGAAACCATCGTTTCTTAAAAGACATCTTGAATCTAAGCATGCCACTTTAAAGGACAAATCTGAAGAATATATTAAGAGGAAATTATCGGAGTTCAAAAATGATAAAAAAGTAATGAAAGTTTTGTTACTTTAAGTGAAAAAGCTTTGGAGATAGTTATCTAGTAAACCTAAAAATTGCCAAGAGTGGACAGACTCACACTATTGGAGAAAACCTTATATCACCAGCAACTAAAGCTATTGTTTAACATTATTCAACGAAAAAACGGTTAATGAACTTGATAATATTCCGTTATCAAATGATACAGTATATTAATGAATTCATGAAATGGTAAATTCCATAAAAGAGACACTTATACAGAAAAATAAAACACAGTGTTTATTCTGCATCGGAGTTGGATGAAAGTACTTATATAACGAACTTTGTGCTCAGTTATTGTTACGTTTCGAAGAAGATAAACTAAGTGCCGAAGAGTATTTATTTTGTGAATCTCTTCAGGATAGAGCAACTG